AATTATTTCTTTTTAATTTTCATTAAAACATTATAAGAATAATAATTTGTTTCAACTAAATATTTTTTTATTGTTATTTAATAACAATAATAAGAGAAGTAATTTTAATGAAAATAAAAAATCACAAAGATATAATTATTATTAATAAAAATCTGTCTAAATAATCTACTTCTATATGTAAATTAAGATTTGAATAAAAAAGGAAATAATAAAAATAGAAGACAGAAACGAAAATTGATTCTTTACAAAAGAAAAGTGGTTTAACAACATTTTTTATTCTCTTTAGAAGACTCAGTAGAGATAGAGACTTTTGAAGTAGATACTTCAAACTGAGATTGTTTTGGTAAATTTTCTGATTGGACAATTTTAGTCACAAGGTCTCTGAAAGCAGCTTCAACTTTAATATTTCTTTTAGCAGAAGTTTCAAAGAAATCAAAATTACCTTCATTTGAGAATTTTTGTCCTTCTTCTGTTGAGACTACTCTTAAGTCTTCATCAGCCAAATCAACTTTATTGCCAACTACAACAATTTTAACGCCTTGAGGACAATAATTTGATACATCATTTACCCAGTCTTGAAGATACTCAAAAGAGTCTCTATTTGATATATCATATACTACTAATGCACCATGAGTTTCTCTATAGTACTGAGCTGCTAATGAACGGTATTGTTCTTGTCCACAAGTATCTCTTAGTGTCAAACTAACAACACAATTATCAAGTTCCATTTTATATGAAAAGATATCCATTCCATGTGTTGTTTCATAATGTTCATTAAAACAATTATTAACTAATTGATTTGCAAGACTTGTTTTACCAACTGTAGAAGCACCAACAATAACAACATTGATGCGAAGTTCTGGTTTATTCATCCAGTTTGAATTTTAGTTATCAGTTATTTTTAAGATTTAATTTTCAAATTTCTGTTTTTAATTATTGTTTTTAAAAACAATTTCATTAACAAATTAAATTATTTAATCATCTTCTAACATTTGATAAGTCATAGGACCAGCTTTACGAGAAATTGGATTTAATATACCATAGTCAGCAAGTGGTTTAAGAATTGATGGAGAAAGTCTACTAGAAGATTCTCTTTGAACAGGATATGATTCATAATTTGTTTCTGTTTTAGAATAATCACTTTGTGACTCACTTCTTTTCAATACAATTTCAGAAATAATCTTTGGAGTTTCTTCTCTTAAGAAAATCTTTGATGAAGTATAAGGAAGTGCTGATTTTGATTTTATATATTCTTTTTCATAAAAAGAATTAGGTTCTATTTGAGACTCCATAATAGAAAGGATAGTTCTGAAATCTTCTTCTAATTCATTTAGTTCTGCCTTTTCCTTTTCATTAATTTCTCCATTAAAAATACTTTCATCTAAACTTTCTGTAAATTCAGTGTATAATTCTCTAGCATTTTTTATTAATAGATCATAACCCTTTGGTTTTTTCTTTTTAGCTTCATATTCTTCTAGTATATCACCTACTAACAATATATATTCTTCTACTGTTCTTGCAGTACTTTCTAATGATCCATTACTAAGTTTAACTTCTGGGTTTATTGGAAGATGATCTTTACTCCAATGAGCAAATAATTCCATTTCTGGATAGATTCTCCATTGGTATGCAAATTCTTTGCATTTTTCTGAAAGAAATGAATTTTTTTTGGAAAAAATACTAAAATTCTATTTTTGTAAGTTTTTAATTTCAAGAAAAATAGAATAGACATTAAGAATTACAAACATTATATTGTGCTACTTGTCTGAAATTTTCAAATGTTTCTTTTGTAGCAAATCCTTTTCTAAAAGGTTCATAATTTGAGATTATATGGTCTATAAGACATAACATAAAATACATTTCTTTTCTTGATATATAACTCTTTAAAAATTCAAGACAACGAAGATTAAATTGGCAAATCAATGAAGGAACTGCCTTTGGTATAGATTTAAGAACATGAAGGATTTGGTTAAATCGATGAAGGCTTGGATTAACTTCTTCGTTATCAATAGCACTTTTAACTAGTTCACTTAATCTCATTGTTATAACTATTACTATTTGAGATTTCTTTTAAACATACCCAAAATGGAAAACCCTTGAAGTATCATATTCTTCTTATTTTAATCTTTATAGAAGTTTGGCATAAACCTTTTGATGCTAAAGATTACTTTGACTTCAGAAAAGTATTTTTGGTTTCGTTTTATTATATCGTTGAAAATGATATGTTTTATTTTTCTTCTAAACCGCTCATATTTCTGTTGTTTTATTCCTGAATAGAGTTTTTGTCCAGTACACTAAAAGATAAGACACTACTGTGACATTTAGCCATCTTAAGAAAACTATTTATAGTTTTGTAAAGGTCTTTATTAGATTTATTTGAAGTAATTAAAAACTATTCGATTTTATTTATCAAAAAGAAGACAATTTCTTCTATCAATTTACCCATTCTCATAAAGTTCTTTGCTTGGCAGTTACTACTATTACTTCCAAATATTTTGAGAAAAGAAACTAAGAAAAGAAACTGATACTATTAACTAAATGATATTTCTCCTCCTTTCCATGACATTTAAGAAAATGAAATAATTAATCATTCAGAAGAAATACAAAAGAAATTATTGAGGTTTAATAAAAATATTATCATCTTTCCAATAGAGGCCTTCTTCATTTAGCCCTATTACTTGACACTATTATGTTCATGCTATTCAACAATATTTTTCCAATATTTTAGAATATTTTTTGTTAGTTTTATTTCTAAAAGTAGGAGAACTTTTAATTATTACAAATCTTGAGTGTTTCTGTTTTTTAAAAGTAATAGTTTTGGTTAAACTCTTTCTTTTCTTTTTTAATACTTCTGTTTTATATTTTTTTGATACAAAGAAGTTATCACAAAGTGAGCATAAAACCTTATCAAAAAAAAAATAAAATAAAAATAAGATAAAATAAGAATAGTTCAAAAAATAATTTTCCTTTAAATCAAAATAATAGTTTTTTTTTTGAAAAAAGAAAGAAAAAGAAGATCAAGAAAAAACTTATTTTAGAAAGGAGAAATAATCATCGTCTTAAAAAGAAATTACATAGAAATATTTAACAATTCAAAAGTATTCTACAGCAAGACTCTTACATTCTCCAAAACAATTCTTTCCTATTTTAATTTTTTCAGAACATCTTATTTTCTTTAATTGTTTGCATTGATAAAAACAATAATCACCAATTTTTTTTACTGTAGATGGCAATGAAACTATTTCAACATCACTTCCAAAAAAACTTCCTTTTGACAATTCTGTAACACCATTAGGAACTTTGTTTTGATGAAGTATTCTATCTTCTGTTGTAAAAATAACAGAGTCACATTGAACCCCTTTTTTCCATAATAATTCTGCAATACGTAGAGATACTTTGACAGTAAAATTTTTTGAGTCATTCCAATAAACTTCATTTAATACAATACATCCATCAAAAGATTTTTCACCAATAAATATTAAAGAAGAAGGAAGATTGATTGACCTTAATGATTTACAATTACTAAAACATTCTTCATAAAGGTATTGTAATTTTTCAGGTAAGACAATATGTTCTAAAGAATCACAAAATGAAAATGCATGATCTCCAATAGAAATTAAACTTTTTGGAAGTTCAATAGATACTAAACTCTTACAATTTTCAAAAGAAGATTTTTGGATGGAAGTAATTCCTTCAGGAAGTTTAATGTGTCGAAGATTTCTACACCAAACAAAACAACTTTCACTAATAGAATTAATACTATTAGGTAATTCAATAGACTCTAATTCATAACAACACATAAAAACACCCATTCCTAATATTTGAAGAGAATTTCCATTAATTTGAATTTTGCGTAATTGAGTACATTTTGAAAAAGCTTTATTTCCAAGTTCTTTTACTGAAGTTGGTATTGTAATGTGTTGTATTGAAATAGAACTAAAACATCCATCACCAACTAAACTAACACCATCAGGAATATTATTTCCATATAATTCTCTATCACTTACTGTATATTCAATGTTTTTACATTTAATAATAAGTCTTGATATAAGTCTCGACAAGTGATATGAAACTAGTCCTTTAAATACCCTTCCTTTTACATTAACATTAACTATACCACTACATCCTAAAAAACATGCTTTTCCTATATTTTCTAATTGAGATGGTAAAGTAATAGATGATAATGAAGTACATCCTTTAAAACACTCTTTTCCAATAATTTTTACTGTTGAAGGGATATTAATTTGTTTTAATTTTTTGCATTCAGCAAATGCACGTTCTGATAGTCTAATAACATTACATAAATTAATTGATGTCAATACATCACATTTCTCAAAAGCACTACTCCCTATTGAAATTAATGTTGGAGGTAAATCAATTGATTCAACTGTATTAGCATATAACCCTTGATCATTGATATGAGTAATACCATACCCAATAGTTACAGGACGGGATGTAGGTGAAGAATAACTGATAAATCTAAAGTCACAATTATCTTCTCTATGTTTTAAATAAAATGAATAATCTACTTTATACCTATACACATGATGTAATTTTGGATATAACTTATCATTAACATAATATAAATGTTGTTCTTCTATTGTTTTAAATAATTTTATTTTACTTATAGGATTAAACCTGTATCCATCAACAAAGTCTTTATAAATTTTACTAACCATCATCACCCTAATAAAATCCAATTCATCATTAAAATAAACACCTATTCTTCTCATTTCACTTGCACCAAGATGTCCTTTTTTTGTTACTTCTATTTTCTGAACTGGAATCATTTCAATCATAGATTCGGTTTTAGTTGAAAATCCAGAAAATGTTGATGTGGAATCTGTTGATTCTTCGTTCATTTATTTTTTAAGTTTCATTTAATAAAAACTTTTTATTTTAATACAATTCTTTCAAATTACTTTTTATGTTGTATTTAGGTGGGGTATAAAAAATGTTTTTTATTTATTCTTTTTTTCACTTTCTGTTCTTCTTTAAAATATCTTTGATATTATTTTGTCTCATAACCTTCATTTTCTAAAGTATACTCTCTCATAAATCAATTGGTATTTTCCACTGTTGGTAACGTTTATTAATAAACATAAATTCCTTTTGTCCAATTACACAGTTCATTAATTAAAAAACACAAAAAAAGTAATTCTGTTATCAAAACTCATAGGAATTTATATTATTCCATATAATCAACGTCTAATTTCGGGATTTTTCTCTGAATTGAACCTATTAATCTATTTTTAGGGTTTCTATTAAAAAGAGAAACTTAAAAAAGCATGTCACAAGAAAAGAAGGTCGAATCCTCAATCATTTTTGACAGAGAAAAAGAGTTTCAGATAGGAACTTTAGAATCAATGATTGGAATAACAAGAAAAGAAAATGAAGAAAATAGTCTTGGGATTAGTCAAACAACTCCAAAAAAAATAAAACAACCAAAATCTCTTGTTGAGGAAAGTCATGTTGAGAAGAAAAAAACTAACAGATCTACAGAAGAAAAAGAACAAAAGCCAGACCAAGAAATTCAAAGTCAAACTGAGAAAAAAGAGTCAAACTTAAGTACAAATCAAGAAATTGTTGAAGATAAAACTAATGAAATTAAAGATAAAACTAGTGAAACTAAAGATAACAAAGAAGCTTTTTCAAATACAACTGCTTCATCTCAAAAAGAAGGGACAACCGAAATAAATGTACAAGAAACTCCAAAGACAGCTGAAGAGAATTTTGAGAAAAATAATGATATAAACATTTCGCATATTGTTGATAATGCTGATATTCAAAAAACAACTAATGAAAGTCAAAATTCAAATCAGAACCAAGTTAGTCTTGTTGAAGAATCTAAACAACAAATAAAAGGAGTTGAGACATTACCACAAGAACATAAAACAACAAACAAAGAATTAGAGATTAGTGATATTACTTCTAATGAAACAAATAAAAATGAGAAGGTTGAAAGTATTGAAGAAGAAAAGAATAGCATCATTTTAACCCATGAAAATGATTTGATTGACAAAAAAGAATCAAATACTATTTCAAAATCCTTTTCAGCTCAAGAACAAATTAAAGCGTCTCAATGTAGGGAGTCTCTTATTCATACTGAACGGTTGATGGCTACTGTAAAAGATAATATGCATCAAGCAGAAGAAAAAGTTGTTTCAACAGTAAAGTATAATAAAATTGAGACACCAAGGAAAAGAGCGTCTGTCAGTAGAATTACGTTATTAGACGATCCAATAAAACACCAAAAAACAGAGTTTAATGGAATTAAAGAAGACATCATTCCTCATAAGAAAGAAAGTGTTACAAGAATTAGTGATGGAAGCAGGTTTTCCGTCAAAAAATTAAGTTTTGATGAAAACGAAGAAGAACAAGAAGAAATGGAAAAAGAGAATTTACATCAAGTCACTTCACCAATAAAAGAAGTAAGTCAAATGGAAGAAGTTCCCATTGAAACTCAAACACCAAACCACAATAAGAATGAAGAAATATCAGGAATATCAAGTATCTCGAGATTATCTGATAAAATGAGAGAAGAAACAAAACCATCTAAAAGTTTGATGTTAAACAAAAGTCGTTGTTCTGAGTTTAAAAGAAAATTGTCTTTAGTTGGTAAAAAAATTGGAGAAGAAACAGAGTGCCAAATTAAAAAGCCTGTTCCTGCTACTTCCATTAATTTATTTAATTCAAGTATTTTACAGCCAAGAGGAAAAAGAACAAAAACATTACCTTGTTTAAATTCTAATGGAAGGTTATGTTCATTAGAAACAGACATGGAAAAAGATGAGCAGTCTGCATATTCTTTATTGCAAAATACACATATAAATCTTAACCAAGATATGGAGGAAGATGAAATTGAAAATGAAATGCGATCAATACAACTGAATATGAGATTATCAAATTATAGAAATAGCAATATTTAAATAACATCAAAATTACCTTTAATTATATTTAATCCCTACAAACAAATGAAGAATAAAATACATGGTATAAAGGAAGAAGTTAATTTATTTTTTGTTTGATTTTTATAAATAATCTAAGTTTTAAATTAGATATTTAATTTTAATAATAATCGTAATTTATTATATAAATATTAAAAAATAAAACAGTTAAACAAGTAATGATTAATTTTAACATTAAGATGAATGAAAATAGGTATTGCCTTAATGGTTATAAAAAATAAATCATTGGAGAGACTGTCTCATGATAGGTATATTGTTCAATTCTTTATCACAATAATATTATTTCATTTATCATAAAATCATTATAGTATTATTGATCATTTTTACACTGTTTTCAACAATTATTTCGGTTAAAATAATCTGATAGAGATATAAACAAACAATACAAATATTTTAAACAAAAGATATAAGAATACAACAATACAAATTAAGAAAAAGATATAATCACCACAAATAAATAAAAAATAAATACTAGATAAAATATATTATTGATAATTAGACTTTATTTCATTAGGTATATGAAAAAAATTAAAAGTGAATTAGAACTAAGAAACATAAAAGAAGAAAGAATAAAATTATTGCAATATTCATTTTTATCTCATAAAAAGTTTATACTTATTATTATTTTAAATTATATTTATTATCATATCGCTTAATTATAGTATTTATTTTTCTATATTTATTTATATTTCATTTAAATTAAATTTTATATCATAACCAGTTTTACATTTTTATTCTAATATCTATTTTATTTTATAGATTAAATTATTTACTTTCAGGTTAATTAGTATATCTTCTGCATTTTATATTATTTTTTTATAATTTTTTACTTTTATTTATAGTCTTATTTGTTTATTTCATTTGTATTATTGTCTCTGAATTTCATTGTTTTTATGTTATTTATTTTCACGTTAATTGTTATCTTATTTCTTATAATTTCTGTCTTTTATTTATTGTTGTGTTCAAAAAGTGAGACATACTATTAAATAATAAGATTATATGAAATTTCTAAACATAAAATGAAGAAGAAATGAAATAGAGAATATCAAAAGATAATAAAAGATATGATAATAGAATAAAACAAAATAACTAGATAACAAATATAACAAGTGAAAATCAACTCAAAAAAGATAATAGAATGAGACATGATTCAAATATTAATTGCATTAATAACAGAACAAATAAAGAATCAAATAGATGAATATATAAAAATGAATAACATAAAATACAGAAGAAACATAAATACAGGAGATGTAGATAATAAAATAAAGAAGTATATTCAAATATTTTCATTAAAATAAAAGAAAAATTAAGTTGCTATTGATTGAATATAAAATAACAAAAATGTAATGAATAAATCTCCATTAATTACAAAAGAAAACAACTACAAATATTTATGAATGAAAATATAATACGAATAATACAAATAATGCAGAAATAATAAAT